AAATAAGAAGAATCAAAAAGGAATGTGGGAAATGAGAATTAGAAAATTTGTAAAATTATTTTAAATTTGTTTTTAACAGTTTTTTAAATCCGAAGAAAACGTATGTCAGTGATAAAAATTAGCAGTGATGTGAACTTTCAGATGATAAATCAGAATAGATAAATGTTCTTTTTTAGGCCCTTTTTATAGGACTTTGAGGGTGGATAATAATTTTCGGATTAAAATAAAAAATTAACATTTTTCAAATTTCAACCCAAAAATTAACTTCAACCAGCTGCAGTTTCACTATCCAGTTCGCTTACCAGTGCAGCTAGCAGCAGCCTCTTCATTCCGCTTAGCTTTAAGCGCACTGCACCTAACTAACCCCATATAGACGTCCAAATGGATTCTTCAACTTCACCGCCAGTGTTTCCGATGCTAGTAATTATAAAAAAAGCCGCCAGTTTGCTATTAATTATTTCAATTTTAGTTACAACAACGAATCAGCGAAGCACACTCGAATGTCCGAAATCTGTCAAGCACAGAAGCGAAGCTGCAGTACATTCGGGCCTGGGAAGCATTACCGGAGCATGGGACACATTACTTCATCGTTCGCTTTAGGTATGCATCTTCCTTTTTATTTTTCCTTACTCGCTTTTATATCGGAACATTTCTGCTTTCTTTATATATGTTTTGGCGAACATATATAAGCCGCTGTCGCGCCAGTACACGACTTACCTAGGAAGGAGTCATGATTCAACAGTGATTCTGACTTTTCCTGGAAAGAATACCAGGACAGCGTTCCTCTTGACAGATGTACTTGGCTAATTTCGGCCATTTTAAAAATTTATTTGTTGTGTGTGTAGCATTATTTGAGTATCATTATTTCTGAACATTACTGCTCCTAGAACACGGTGAGGTACCGCAGTGAATGGCGGGATATAGTCACATAGCCAGTTTTTTTGTGATTATTGGTGCTTTACATAATACAGCAACATTTGTATGTTCTAAAAAATCCTGTGTTTTGCCACTTACTGGACCGAAATATTCCAATTCAGTTTTCATCTTTATTTTTATTTTTATCTTTTAATTTTTACAACCTTTTTCATAATCGTGAAATATCCAAATTTAAATTGCCACTG